GAGCTCCAACAACACTGGTAACTTTACTCTTTCAGCAAAGTTGTCTTGTTTGTAGACCCAAGGCTGCAAGTTTGTTGGTCTTGATATTTGAAATGATCTTCTCTAGACTATCTTCATGGCTCCTCTCATTTTTTTCCACTTTCTGTTCATCATTTATGCCATTGCATCATGGAGGCTTTCTCTCAAAGCCTAATATAATACAATAATGTTTGGAATTTTAGCTTCCACATCATTTGCTAACTGCCTCTTTCCATGCCTTTGTATTCAGGTATTTGTGATAAAACAAAATGACGTATTAGTGTGTTGATTGCTTGCTGCCTACTCCTGCCACCAACAAGAGAGTAGCATGAAGTTGTGGAGCTTGATTATCCCACTCCTTATGCAAGTTTCTATGAAATCTCTGTCTGGCACATAGGAGGCACTCCAGATTCTTTAATAAGTGAGGAAAAGAGCAAAAGAGTAGATGTCTATGTAGTTATATGCTTTTCTCTTGGTAATTAGAACTGACAGAAACATCTGTAAACAAGTATGATGCTAAAAGCTAAAGGCAACATAAAAGGTATAAAAATCCATGCTTGGGACTTAGGAAAACTTCAGTATCATTAAGAAGAATCTCTTAATGATTCTTTGAGTTTCTGTGGAACAGTGTTTATGAAGAACATGAATTCTAAAGCCATTTTATAATCTTCTTTTTACTATTACTTTTGTAGTTCTTCAGAGTCTGAATCATGAACCATACTTTACTACGTATGTAGAATTTGATAACCATAGTCATGCCCTAGTGTTTATTTAATGTTCCAACATGATTGGAATTTATTTAGAAGTAACAAGAATTCTTCCTTCCTGTTCCTTCTTAGTTAATATACGATTCAAATGTAATTCAAAATATTCTCTTTTCTTTGGTAAGTGATTTATAATCCTACTGGTTCTAATTTACTGTAAGCAAAGCATCAGATTAGCAATGTGTTTAATATGAGTTATTAAGTTCCCATTAGACTAAATTACCACCCCTAGAGATCTGCAAAACTACTCTGAATTAATTTGAATTTCCCATTAGCCACATACTTCACCACTTCTTAAATGCCACAGATATATTACAGCTCTTCCAAGAAAACTGTTATTTCAAAATTTCAAAATTTCAAAAATCTCTGTAATCGTTAGTTCTGTATATTGTTTTTGAGAATTATGATATAAAACATTGTACGCAGGCTGGGAAGGTAGCTCAGTGGTATAGTGCTTGCCTCGCATCCATGAGGCCATGGGTTAGATTCCTCAGCCCCACATAAGCAGAAAAAGCTGGAAGTGGCTCTGTGGCTCAAGTGGTACAGTGATAGCCTTGAACTGAAGAGCTGAAGAACAGCATCCAGTCCCAGAGTTCAGGTCCCACAACCAACAACAACAACAACAAAAACAACATTGTGTGCATGTGTGTATACGTGTATGTGTATGTGCACAGTTTCCTGGTCATTTCTGTAAATTCCATTTTTACTATATTTTACTACAAGAGTAGAATAATCATTGATTTTTCTAATTGCATTAAACAATTCTACCAATGTAAAATATACTTCTAATTGATTAGTTTATTGTTTATTTTTAATTATCTTACTTAAGCATGTACAATCCAAATAACTCATCTGTGAATCTAGAGACTGAGCCAAAAAAAATGCAGTTTACCCACAAAAGTTGGAAGCAAGGAGCTTGTGAATATTACCATAGAACTTGATAGTCCAGAAATTCCTAGAGGCTAGAAATGCTTTTAAGGAGCCTAGGCTTTGTCTAAAATGGCTGGCTTGGTCTTCTTAATAGTAAAATCATATCACTAATTAATTCATGAACTTGACTTGATGACAATGATTAAAAGAATCCCAAAGAGGGAGGAAAATATCCAATAACTATGTAAAGATCTATGTTTGCAGTGAAAAAAAAAATGTGGTCACTGAAAATATCCAATGTATTAACTAATGAAACAAGGACGGTGCATATTTTCCAACCACATTTCTGCAAAGCAGATTTATCAACTCAATTCCCCAAAGCTAAAGAGGGTATCAGGCTGGATTACATATCAGAAGTTCCCATTCTTGAACTCATGTGATGAACTCACATCTGTTCCCCAGTATCCAGCATTAATTTTATTCGTAATGCAATGAGCATTAATCTGAGTTGACCCAGAAAGGCAAGGTACTGGATCATCCTGGGAAAAATTCTCAGTGTTCCCAATTTAGTCTGATCCTCCAAATCAGAGACAGATCGTCCTTTTCTTTATGCAAACTTTAAGTACTAAGAATACAGGGAATCAAGAAGCCAGCCCCTGTTGCTATATTTTTCTCCCTGCAACCCTTCTTATGCTCTGCTTTCAGATTAAACTGTCCAATTAAATCTAGGACATAGTCCTTTTTCCCAGATAAAAAGTTCAATATTTCCAAATACCTTCATTATATGGTATGTATTGTTTGAATCAACAGCCTGCGTGCTACAGCTGAAATAAAAAAAAAAAAAAGTAAAGAAGAAAATTTAAGTGATCTGTAATACAGTTTGAGTTCTTTACTACTGTGGCTGAAATGGAAAGTATGGATTAAAAGTAACAAAATCTGGGAAGAAAAGAAATGGTAGCAATTCTTCGGTAGCTTCCCATTTAAAGGTAGTAAGAAGCCCAGCTGTAGCCAGGGGATTGGAAGAGAAGTAAATTTAAATGTGGGAGGCTGAGTTTATGATTTCAAGATGAAGAGGAAGAAGCAATTCTGAATTTTGTGATTTGGGAGGATGAATAGATTAAGTGGAAAACAGACCATTGGTATACCATAAAGTATAATGAAAAGAGCATGGGTTTCAATGGGACAGGTTTTACTTTGAATGCTATCAAATTCCTTTCACCCTGTGTCAGCTGTGTGAGCTTGCCAGCATGAACTGCCCTCTGAGTTTCAGATGAAAGGGGAAAATTCTAATTAAATTTTTCAGAACTTAATAGCTGAAAGTGTCCACTCAGACATTTCCTTGCACATGGTATGTGCTCTATAAATCAGTCATCATCATTATTATTGTCTCAAAACTGAGATGGAAAATAAGACTTGTGGGAAGAGATGCCTGGAGGTTAGAAGTAGAAAAGACTGGAGGGAGGAGACTCATCAGGACTATCCATGTGGATCTGGGAGGGAATACAAGAGCCCATCCAGGAACTGGAAGGAAACGGTGATCTGAAAGATAGCTGAAGGGATGGATGAAACAATGGTTAGGAAAGGACGATTACACAAGTAGACGTGGAAAGGGATCCAAGCTTCAGTGAAGTCTGCACTGCATGCAGGTATGCTCTGTGTTAGCTGGGCACAGTCCTTTCAAGAACGATTAGTGTAGCCATCGAGAGCATCCTATGCTAACATTAGACTTTCTTAACACAAATCTCCCTCACACTGATAAAGCATCGCTGCAGGGAACAGTTGTCATGATGTACCATGACTCCCCTTTCCCCGTTCCCTCCTGATAAAAATTAGGAGACAGGCACAAGTGCTCACATGGCCGCCTCAAACTAAATCTAATAACTGGTAACAGTTTGCTTTGGGAGCATTTTGAACTTTTTAACTTTGCCAAACATTAGGAGAAGATCCCCACCCCCTGCCACCCAAACTAAAACAACTCTGGGACAGCTTTTGAAGTCTTCCACTCAATCAGAAGATCTCAGAAAGGAAATGGAAAAAATACATAAATGTATAAGGATATTAACGGGAGAACGTAGTTAACTTGTAACCATTTTACATAAACCATCAACTATGAAAAATAAGGCAGCATTAGATCTGACAACAAGATTTGTGTTGTAGTAGACAGCACGTCAAGCAGAATGAAGAGATGCTACCAATTTCCATTGCTAGTGTTGACAAACTGCCTAGGGTTTCCAAACCCAATCTTCTCAATCACGTTTTCTACCCCTGCATGAGCACTCTAACACACCACTGCAGATCCACCTTTGTGACCTTGCTTCCACGAAGCCTTTCAGATCTCCCATTTGAAAGTGAGCATTTCATACAATAGATGTCAAAACGTTTGGTCTTTCTCAAAATCCTGACCATGCTCTGTTTCTTATTATAAATATTAGTGTTTTGTAGTCAAGAAACTCCTGGAAATAAAGGTCATTGTCCTCTCTCTAAAGCCCTTTTGTTATACTCCATAACTTCTAGCTCTATGGTCTTAGCGTTAATTCAGAGCAAACATTCCGATCCCATCATTAAAATTATTTAATGATTGTCTTATGATTATAACCTCAAAAATTAGTCCCTGTCTTTTTTTTAATTTTAAGGAATTTTTATTTAAAACCATATATAAATAGGTCAAATAACACTTAGCCCAAGAGAACTGCAAACTTTTTTTTTTTTTTTTTTACCATGATAGTCCAAAATGACCAATACTTACTGCAGATTCAGCAGACAATACTGCCCCTTTCCAAGCAGCTGTGCTGTCTCTAGAAACATTTTATGGGCATCTCTTACAGGCATTGGAGAATCACAGAGCCACCATTCACAGCCCTACCCAAGAATTGCTTTCAGTGTAGCAAAAAATACAGGAAGCATCCAGAAAAGACAAAAGGCTCCAACTCCAAGTCCACACTTCTATTTAATAAGACCATAACATTCTAACATGACAAATGAGCCACAGGAATGTTTTAACAATTATATACTCTAACTTGATATTATCAAAAGGAGAGTTTGTGTGTGTGTATTTTTTTGATTTGTTTGTTTTTATAATCTGGATCACAAAAATAAATACTTAAGGCATCATTATAAGAACTGAACTTAAGGCCTTTTTTTTTGGCTAGGGATAACTCAGTAGTAGATCCCCAGTCCCAAAGAAAAGGTTCATTTCCTTCATTTATATTTATATTCAGTCGTATTTCCACTCAACTGAACTAAAAGAGAAAAGCTTAACTCCAAGCCTACTGTTCCACGTCTGCTGTCCTAAATGAAAGGATAGCTCCTCATAGGATTTCTCCGAAGTTCCATGTCCTGATGTCAAGGTTAGCAGTTTCTACTGCTAAACCGATGTACAAATTCTGATAGTGTATAGACAGCTCCCCATCCCATATCAGGAGCCATACTGATGAAATCGTCCAGGTTCATTTTGGAGTCTTCAGTTTCAATGCAGGGATAGGGTGGAGGAGGCTCCCTCCAGTTCCCGCTGGAGTCTTTCATGTGAGAGCGGTCAGAAGCAACGTTCTTCAGGTAAGAATCTGCACGCATCACTCTAAATGTCCTCCTAAACTGTGGGTGAATGTCATCATCAGACTTAAGAGCATCTTCTACATAAGTATGAAATGGGCAGGGAAATGGCAAAGCAGTGTCGAGATCATAAATGAAGCTCTGTCTTCCACTTGGTGTGTGAAGCAAAACAACGTGGTAATCCCAGATCACAGGTCCATCCCCAGGTCTTGCTTGCTGTTTCCAGAGAGGAATCATCTTCTTCTCATTTGATATGAAGACACCATAGCACTCTTCTAAAGGACATTGTGTATGGGTTTTGATGTATTCACAGAGCTTCCAAATATTTTCCTCGCAGCTGCTGTAGACACAGGCCTCCCGCGTGGGGCAGGCCGGCTGGTAGCCCAGGGTGGTGACACCGGTGGGGCAGGCCCCCTCCATGGCCCAGGCCAGGGGCTCCCTGATGCCACCGGCGGGAAGAAGTAGTCCCTGTCTTTTCATTCATTTTTTTACCCCCAGAATTGTTGCTTGACTGTACTGCTCAAGGTTGGTCTTGTACCATTTGAGTTACAACTCTGCATCTAGCTTATTGATGATTCCTTGGAGATAAGAATTTTTCGGTCCTTTCCTGCTCAAACTGAATTTGAATCATGATCCTCAGCTCTCAGCCTCCCAAGCAGCTACAATGACAGGCATCAGCTATTAGTCCCTGTATTAAACTACCAATTTATATTAGATTAATAAGAACAATTTTATAATCTTTTATGCTTGTTACCTTATTTTTTACCTTTTAAATGCACCACATTAATTATATATAATATATGTTATGAAACATTTTTAATACTTTTTACCCAAAAGATATTTACAACATAAGTCACTTAGAGGAGTTTGATGTTTGGCTCCAAGCATAATTCTAGGGTAGAAATCAATGTTTTCATATAAAAAAAGTTCACAGGGGCTGAGATGGTGGCTCAGTGGTATAGCACTTACCTTGCATACTCAAGGCCCTGGGTTCGATTCCTCAGCACCACATAAGAAAAAAGCCGGAAGTGGCTCAAGTGGTAGAGTGCTAGCCTTGAGCTGAAGAGCTGAGGGACAGTGCCCAGGCCCCACGACCAGACCCAAAAAAAAAGTTCAAAGTGTACAATATCGTTTTATTCAACATGAGTTTTTCTATCCTAGTAAAGATATAATAAATAATATATACAATGTTAAAAAGACTGATCAAAATAAAGTGTGATTTCCAGGCTTCATGATGTTAAAATTTGGTACAGCCACTTTTACCAAACATATGTCATCTAAACAGTTCTCTTCACCTTGGGCCAAATAAGAAAGACCTTGCTGACAAAAATGCAAACACACATTTGTATTTCCTATCTTCCTGTCTCCTTTCACTTCAGTCAGTTCTGCTTCTTAATGCAGACTGCTTTCAACATTTATTTTAGTTTCTTTCTTCTTCTTGACATGTGTGTGGTAGAATCTGGCAATTTTATATGTTGTTTACAAAACAGAGAAGAATGCTTTTCTGAAGATGTCACTGTTTGTAGTCAAATAAGCCACTTTTCATGATAAGAATTCTCTTGTATTTATTCCGAGGTGTCTATTCTTTTCCCTTATGACTTGATAATAGTCCCACTATTCTAACCCTTCAGTGAGACTGTGTTTAGAACACAATTTGAGACATTTGCAGCACACACCATTCTTCACATGCAAAGAGATTAGCTTTTTAATAATGACTTCTTTTGAATTAGGAAAAGATTTCTACAATAGAGAGGAAAGCCACATGGGGGTATGGAATCAATGACTCCTTATGTAAGCTTTAATAATTTATTTGTTCAGAGACTTTGTTGCAGTTTTTGGTTAGGAGGAGAAAGGAAATGCCCCCACCATCCAGCCAGTGTTTTGTTCCCTGCAGAAGCATTGGTGATTATCCTGGGCATTTCTTGGTACCTTTAAAAGAATCCATTTTGTGCACGTCTCTGCCAACCAGGGAATCATCCATAAAGAGTTGCAATTGCTTTGTTGAATGGTATAATGAAAAAATTCATGCAATCTTCAACCAGACAGTCTTTGTTAGAGACCTGTGTTGCTTTTAGACAAATCCCTTCATTCTCTGGGCCTTGGTTCTCTCATCTTTAAAGTAAGAGTGTTATAGCTTTAACTAGGAACAGTCACATAAGATGTCAATGCAGTGCTTTGCCCACACATAAAGCCAACAACCATAAACTATCTTTACTTGTAGAGATTTAATGCATGCATGAATCAGAGAAAGAGAAAAGCTCATTTTGGAAATGTAAAAAGACACTGTAAGTTAAATGGGTCCTATTCAAACTGGATCGGTAGAACTATGTTTGGTTTTTCATAGTAAAAAGTCCAGAACCCAGGAAGATTTGCACTATAGTGCCTTAAGGTTCTGCTCAATATTTTTTATGATTCGTGCAGTCTCTATACCTATTCCTGTTGCTACTTTTTTTTGTAATTGGTACCTCATGGTCACAAAATACCTGCCAGAAGGAATAAATACAACGTGTTTCTTTGCTCACAAACTATGCCTCAACAATAACTTTATTATCCTGTCTCTTTACAATCATATTCTTTGGACACATATGGACTGATAACAATCCTACTTAGGTAAATAGGTATTGCCGGTGTACAATCAGAAATGAAGTTTGAAAGATTCACTAGACCACACTGCTAGGAGAGCTGGAATCAGAACGAAAAATTTCCATGTTCAGTCCAAAGATCACAGCAGATTCATACTTCTTATTAATATTTGAGATTTTATAAAATGTTTATAATTTTATGAACATCATTTTCAATTTTAACTTAAAAATATTTATAAAAACAAGTTGAGTGTTAAGAAGTTGATCTGGGTGCTGGTAGATTACACCTGTAATCCTAGCTACTCAAGAGGCTGAGATATGGTTTGAAGCCAGACCTGGCAGAAAACCCCATGAGACTCTTCTCTCCAAAATCACAGAAAAAAACAGAAGTGGTGCTGTGGCTCAAGTGCTGGAGTGCTAGCCTTTAGCAAAAGGAACCCAAGGAGAGCACTGAGGCCCAGAGTTCAAGCCTCAGGAGATGAAAGAAAGAAAGAAAAGAAAGAAAGAAAGAAAAGAAAGAAAGAAAGAAAGAAAGAAAAAAGAAGAAAGAAAGAAAGAAAGAAAGAAAGAAAGAAAGAAAGAAAGAAAGAAAGAAAGAAAGAAAGAAAAGAAAGAAAGAAAGAGGGGATGAAGGAGGAAGGGAAGGAAGGAAGGATGGGAAGGAAAGAAAGAAAGAAGGAAGGAAGGAAGGAAGGGAAGGAAAGAAGGGAAGGAAGGAAGTAAGGAAGTTAGTTGATTCTTGTAGTTTGAACTCCTATGACTACAGCTTGGGTACTTTCTATATATCTATATCTATAGATATAGATATATAGTAAAAATACTGTATAGAGGGGTTACAGTTACATGAGTAAGGTAATGAGTACATTTCTTATCGAGCATTGTTTCTTCCTCCTTTGTTTTTCCCCTACCATCCCTTCCCTTCCACCACCCCAACTCCTCCCTCCCCCCTCCCCCGACATTGTAAAGTTCCTTTTCAACGTAGTGTCCTATACATCTAATCATCACAATGGGTCAACCTGTATCCCCATTTAAGCGTTCTGCTATATCCCTTCCCTTCCCCAAATTACAAAAATGTATATACAAAATGCAGAACACTGGAATCAAATACAGTGAAAACAGGGGTTATACCATGGGGGAAGATCATACAAGAAAAACAAAAGAATCACATAGTGCATTAAAAATAAATTAAAAACAATAGCAAGGAAGAAAAAAAATACTTGTGTCCCTGTCTTGGAGTACATTTTGCTTAACATCATCTTATATGGTCATATGTACATAGCCTTTGACCTTCTCAGCTTGTTCTAGACATGTACTAGTCGTTGCAAACAAAGGAAACTATGGGACCTATGTTTCTTTGGGGCTGGCCAATTTGCCTTAATATAATTTTTTCCAAGTTTTTCCATTTCCTAACAAATAGGGCAATGTCATTCTTTCTGATGGAGGCATATGAGTACTTTCTTACTTTTTTTTAAAGCACTAACCTGTTAATTTTTATATTTACAAACAATATAATGTGAGGATAAACAAAACTTGCTGTAGACTTAAAGTGACCTGGATGTTCTGTATAGCAGTTTATCAATTCTTGCCATTCATATTTTGATCTGAAATTATATTTATCTCTCTCATTAATGTCTAATATCTGCAAAACACCATAGGTGAATTCAACAGTGTTTAAATTTCATAGCCTCCATGTTTTCTAAATAGCAATCCAGATGTGCACCAGAGGTACCCAAGATAGAAATCACCACAATGATTTTATTTAAGGTAACCAGTGGTTATTTCTCAAAATAAAATGTTATGCTAGCATACTAAATAAGTGTGTGTGTACATGTTCCATGGTTCAAATTCAATACCTGTCCTAGCAGTAATGTTTAATGCAGCAAGCAGAGCCTTTCTTAAACCATCAAGTTATTTTATCTACAAAGAAGAGATACCCCTTCTTTCTCTTCAAAACTAGAGCCTGGTTGACCACACTAGAGCCACTGCCTATAAATTATTAGCGCCTAGTCACAATATACCACCGTGAATGAGATATTGTATTTTTAAAAGAAAATTATCCATGCCATGATGAATCTAGAAGCCAGAAGCTTGATCTCCTATAAGAAAACAGATATAGGAAGCAATCAAGTTCTATACCAAGCTCTCACTTATTTGAAGATACTATATTCAGTCATCGAAGGGTCTACTAATTGTGGACTCTCTTAACCTAACAGATTCCTAATATTCTCTCCAGTTCATTTTGTTTTAGGACATGGGGGAATTTGAGAGCAAGTTGAAGCTAACTCCATGTGTCTGAATCCATGCTAATGTCCTTCAGTGATCTTTTTGCATGGGAATGTGAAATGTTAGCCATTGAAAACTGAGACATGAAAGAAATTCATGGAGAAGAATCGTATTAAACTTCCTCAAACTGCCAACATGAAAGTTAATTCCCAGTGAAAGTTTTAACTGGCACATCGGAAAAGAAGAATTAACAAAATTTATATTTTATGTTTGCTTTAATTTCATGGTGAATGTTTTCAACCTAGTTAATTATGTGTGTGTGTTTATAACCAAAAAATAAATAAATAAATAACTCCCAGGGGAAACAATGGAAAACTGAAGGAATGCAAAGCCACAGAACTACTTGAAATTGAAATAACAACACTCAGCCAGATATAAGGCAAACAAGATGAATGTATAAAATACCTTATAACTAAAAATATCAACCTAAATGCAAATTTTTCTCCCTTGTATCAAGGCAAAAATTCCTGATAACCTTCCTTTGTTCTTTCATTGCATGACATCTAGATGAAGATCCTTTCTAAATGTTAGTCCTACCTAAATCTTGAGAAATTT